TGTCACTGGAGGGCCTATCCGGTATCATGGGGACAGCATGGGTGTCAGGAATATGGTGAGTGCTCTTCTGTGCTGAAGGGCACTCACTCATTGACAGAGACGCATCAGGAACATGTATCGTTTTGTCGATGACGCTAGTCACGTCATCGGTGTCTGATCAGTAGTCAGTCTTCTCCTGTCTATGAGCTTTAAAGCCCCACTGAGAGTGGCAATGGCTTGTGTTACACGAAATTTAGTCGTACTACAGCAGTCATTGCACAGCCAGTTTGCCGCAGCGTTTGTGTGCTTCAGGAGTTAGTTTTGTGTACATACTATGAAACCCTCTCTTGCAGTTATCACACTGCATTCCCTCATCCACTGGAAATTAGCACATGACCCTTCCGCAGTGGTTCTTTTTGATAGGCATTATTTTTAGAGCGAATTGGGGAAAAACAATTTAAACATAACTTTATATATATATATATATAACCTTTATAAATCAGTGATAAAAAGCCAATGAGTGCACAGAAAAAAAATGCTGAAGACGGTCAGTAGGGTGAGTGGTGTCCCAGTGGACCACATAGTTAACGTCGTTGTCGATAGGCACTTGACTTCGTGCAATAAATTTGCTAGAAGGATTTTGTCTGACTTGGAGCATCCACTTCACCCTCAGCTTTCACCTTGCATCTCCTCAGGTAGAACAAGAAGTAACTTCAGAAAACTGTATGCATAAAAATTCTATGATACCATACTTGGCACGTATTTTATGTGATGAAAATAGCATCAGACAAGAATTAACTAACCTTTTTTTCATCTAGTAAATAAACAATTTCCTCCATCCATCCTTATATACCTTCAAGTCTTACTTTTATTATTTCTATTATATTTATGGTCCTGTTGCTTCTTTGTTTTACTCTCATAATTGCAAACACCAACTTATCTTTATGACTGCTGTAATCTTTGTTTTTCCCCTCACCATATCATGGAAAGAGAACATTATATTCAATATTTTTAATCATGCAAGGACTTGTATACCGCATCGACAATACTGTGTGAAACAAGCCCACGGCAATTTTCACTTGTATTATTATTATTACCTTAGCTGTTATCATTATTATTATTTCCATTTTATATGCTGCATGTTTTTTATTTTTTTTATATTAACCCTATTGTAAATGTAGAAAAATTTTCTATGTGATTAATTTTATTTATAATTTGAGGAAATTAGATGCAATATTGTGATTAATGCTGAGAATTCCATTCTGTATCACAAGTACTGTTTTTGGAATAAAGTAAATCATTATTATTATTGTTAACCTTTATAAATCAGTGATAAAAAGCCAATGAGTGCACAAAAATATATATAACTATTAGGTTATAAGGTTTTCGAAAACTGCGCTACATTTGCTTAGTTACATAAAACTCTGATTTTTGTGGAATATCTTATCAAAAAGTTGCGAAAAACTTTTACAATTATTTGACTTTGAAACACTGAATCTTTGGATATAATATTGTATATCAATAACACCTATAACTATCTATTGCCACTCTGTGCTTGATTAACACTAACTAATACCTATAATTGTATATATATTGATGGATTTACATGTTCAAGTTGGCTCAAGTCAGTGAGTCTATGATTTTGGTATCATTTTGGTTAACTGTAATTGACTGTGATATTATTATTGTTGTTGTCGCTTGTTACCCTTCTTGTTGTGAATTATTTTCCCGTGCTGGTGTTTTTCTGCTTGTTTATTCCCTGTTTTCCTGGTTTTTAAGGGGAGCAACCCACAAGGTCGCTTCTCTCTAAATTATAAATTGATGTAACAATCCCCCTTCTCAGGCGTGAGGCTAGCAACCCCACCCTGTAAACAAACCTGCTACAGAAACTTCAGCACGATGTATCTCCTTGAGACAAAAGAAAAAGTCTTTGTGGGGACATGGAATGTCCGTACTATGTACGAGATTGGCAAAGCTGCCCAGATCGCAAACGAAATGAAAAGATACAAAATTCAAGTACTGGGAATATGTGAAAGCAGATGGAACGGGAATGGACTCACCAAATTGTCAACGGGTGAGTCAGTGATCTACTCCGGTCACCCAGAAGATAACCACTCGCACACCGAGGGCGTGGCTATCATGATGTCACCAACGGCAACGAAGGCCCTGATGCAATGGGAGGCGATCTCGCCCAGGATAATAACCGCCAGATTCAACTCCAAAGGAAGGAAAGTGTCAATTATACAATGCTATGCACCGACCAACAACGCAGACCTCGAAACGAAAGAAGAATTCTACAGACAACTGCAGACAACAATGGACAATACTCCAGCTGGTGACATCAAAATACTAATGGGAGACATGAACGCCAAACTGGGATCAGACAACACAGGAAGGGAACTCATCATGGGTAGAGAAGCTCTCGGAGAAATGAATGAAAACGGAGAACTCTTCGCCGACTTCTGCGCCTTTAATGAACTAGTGATTGGTGGCAGCGTATACAAACACAAGGATATCCACAAGGCTACATGGGTGTCACCAGATGGGCGAACCAAAAACCAAATCGACTTCATCTCAATCTCAAGGAAGTGGAGGCGCAGCCTACTGGACACAAAAGTAAGAAGAGGAGCAGACATTGGCTCAGACCACTATCTCGTACAAGGGACAATCCAAATCAAATTAAAAGCTTTCAGAGAATCAGGAGCTGCAGATAGGCCACAAGCCAAGTTCAACACTCAAAAACTGAAGGACCAGGACACAAAGGACATCTTCACTGCAAGTATAAAAGACAAAGCCGAGACACAAATCAACACTGGCGAAGAGGTCAGCGTCGAAAAGCACTGGAACAACTTGAAGACAGTATGGAGTCAAACCTGCATGGAAGTTCTAGGCAGAAAGAAGAGACAGGACAAACAATGGCTCACTACGGACACTTGGAAACTAATAGAAGAGAGAGGGATGGTGAAACAAAAGATTCTCCAGTGCACCGATGAGCAACAAAAACAGGATTTGAACGCAAGCTACAAGACACTGAACAAAAGAGTAAAGAAGAGTGCCAGAGAAGACAAAAGAAAGTACTATGAAACCATGGCAAGTGAGGCAGAACAAGCTGCAGGCAAAGGAGACCTCGCAACACTCTACCAAACTACTAGGTACCTATCGGGCAAACGTTTGACACAAATCAAGCCGGTGAAGGATGACAATGGAAAGTCACTCACCAAAGAAGTGGAGCAAAGGAAACACTGGGCTGAACACTTCAAAAGACTCCTAAATCGACCACCACCTACAACGCGCCCAGCAATACCAACAACGGAGACAGAGCTACCAGTGAACACCAACCCCCCGACGAAATCAGAAGTCCTGAAGGCAATCAAGATGCTAAAAGCTGGAAAAGCAGCAGGACCAGATGGAATCCCAGCAGAAGCATTGAAAACGGACCCAGAGACAACAGCGGACTTGATGACGCCACTACTGGAGAAGGTGTGGAAAGAAGGCAAAGTACCCGAGGATTGGAAGAAAGGATACTTATTCAAACTACCAAAGAAAGGAGACCTAAGTCAATGCAAGAACTGGCGCGGAATTATGCTCCTGTCCATCCCAAGCAAAATACTAAGCCGCATCATCCTGGAGAGAATCAAACATGCCCTGGATGAAAAACTTCGACCGGAACAGGCTGGATTCAGGAGGAACAAGTCATGCATTGATCAGATCGCCACATTACGGATCATCATTGAACAAAGCTTGGAGTGGCAGTCACCTCTCTATCTCAACTTCATCGACTTTGAAAAGGCCTTTGACAGCGTCGATCGAGAGGTGATTTGGAAACTACTTCGCTACTACGGGGTGCCACCGACAATAATACATCTCATCCAACAGCTATACGACAATGCTGCATGCCAAGTAATCCACAATGGGAAACTTACGGAACCCTTCGAAGTGAGGACAGGAGTAAGACAAGGCTGCCTACTATCGCCAATGATTTTCTTGATTGCAGTAGACTGGATAATGCGACAAACAGTGGGCAATGAGGAAACAGGCATAAAATGGACTCACACAAAAAACTTGGAGGATCTGGACTTCGCCGATGATATATGTCTGATTTCCCACAAACTGGAAGATATGCAAGCGAAAAGCAACAAGTTGAGCAGAAGAAGCATCAAAGATAGGACTTCAGGTGAACATAGATAAAACAGAGGTGATGAAAATTCCTGGGCAACACCATCAACAGCAACAACAACAACTGACAACAATCAGCATAAATGGGAGGAACCTGAAAGAAACAACCTCCTTTACCTACCTGGGAAGCATCGTTTCAACTACAGGCGGAACTGACGAGGATATCAAAGCAAGGATCGGAAAAGCAAGACAAGCTTTCACTACTCTCAAGTCTGTGTGGAGGTCAACAGCACTCAGCATCAAAAATAAGATCCGGATTTTCAACTCCAATGTGAAGTCAGTCAGTGCTACTATACGGATCAGAGACTTGCACTGCGCGTCATAAAGAGCATCTCAAACAAACTACAGACCTTCATTAACAGTTGTCTTCGCTCAATACTCAAGATCAGATGGCCGGCCAGAAAAGATCAGCAACAGGGATCTCTGGCAATGAGCGAACCAACCAGCAGGAACCGATTGTGAAACAAATAGGCAGGAAGAAATGGAGATGGATTGGCCATACTCTTAGGAAACCATCAAGTGACATCACTAGACAAGCCCTCGAGTGGAACCCGAAAGGGAAGCGGCGAGTTGGTCGTCAGTGCAAGGGTGACTTGGAGGAGGTCATGTGAAGAGGAGATGAAAACGTGTGGGCAGACTTGGAGCCAGGTGAAGACTCTAGCAGAGAACCGAACGCAATGGAGACGCACGGCTGAAGCCCTATGTTCCTCTAGGAATTAAAGGATACAATAATATAATAATATTATTATTATTCTGAGTTCCTGAGTTACACTGTGCTCCAACTAACATTTTTATTCAAATATTTTATATTGTTTTCTTGTAGATCTCAGATTATAACTCCAACCATGTCATGTACAAATCCTGGTAGTTCTAGTAAAAATGGAGGATCAAGAAGTGGTGTTTCAAGGTAGTTTGATTTGAAGTTTTTTCGTCAATTTTTTTTCTTATCACATATTGATTTTTTCCCTATTATGTCATAATATGATTGGGTAATTTCACTGAAATGTATTTTGTATGACATGCATATTAACCCTCTCTGATTTTAGACGCATAAATTCAGTGATAGATGGTTCATTGACCTTTTTTGGATTCAATTCTCGTGAAACTACCATTGAAGATTGGAATGAACGCCGACTGAGATATATGATAAAGCGTTATGGAAGTATTAAGGGCGATCGTTTATCTGCTGTAAGTATGTATGTTTTTTTGTTTTGATTTACCTGAAACTAAGTTCTGTGTGTTGTTTTAAAAAATTTTTTTATTTGTATGAATGTCATGAATGGGGATGGCATCTTAAAACATCTTCAATTTGATGTGTGGTATGTGGTTTTTGCACCGTCTAAGTGCAAAGTACTGTAACAAGATTGGTAGGAGTCTGCACCTGCACTCACTACTTCTGAAGGTGAACCACTTGAAGTTGTCGATAAATTCGTGTATTCGAGTATTATGGACGAGTATTCCAACCGTATCATCAAAGCTAGGGTGGCATACGTCAAATTGAGCCAACTCTGACGCTGTCAAAGGTTGGATTTACAATGCTTTAGTGCGGACTGTCCTTGCTCTACGCCTGCAAAACCTGGCTTCTCCGAGCTGAAGATGTGCAGTGACTCTGTGTATGTGATCACCGCTGTCTTCGATGGCATCATCGTGTGAGTAATTCTGAGGTCCAGCGGAGTGTCTTTGAACACAGTTGAGATCACCGTTGACTGCGTGTCGTCATCTGGAAACACTGGCTTCGGTAGCTTGGAAATGTGCTACGAATGTTATCCCAGAGGCTTCCGTACTGGTCTCTGTTAGCTAGCTCTGGGATTTGATAGAAAAAGCGGAGAAGTGGTCAGCCAATGAAGTGGAGTCGTGGGATGAAGGATATTTGCTTTAGGTTAGTATCGGTTAGTGCGTCACCACTCCCTGGCTGGACTCCGAGAGATAGGTCGAATCGGTGACTTGAAACGTTATCGGATATGGCCAAGAATCACAATCAATGGCGAACGTGTTACAGTTTCCTACTTTCTTCCCCTTCGTGACAATAATTCGACGAATGATGTTTGGTCCCTTAATTATAACTGCTTTCTTCCAAGATTCGTTCTCTATTTACTTTTTCATATGTTGTTTTATTATTATTGTGTGCTACAGCTGATGTAGCACACAGAAGCAGAGAAAAGACAGAGAGAAAAAGAGACTCAAAAAGACCCTAATGAACGGAAATATGCAGTTGAAAGAATATTGATAACGCAGAGAAATGTGAGGATTTAAAGAATCTTAGAGATTAGAAAGAGTGGATGATGTATCTGCACCATCGAGCATAGTTTTGAGCTATATCACTAAGAGTACTAAGCCCTATGGAGCTTAGCATCATGAGGACTTCAACCAGATAGTCTACACTTCTAGCCCATGTGACTGTGACTGGCTTAAATCAACAATCAACGACTTCATAGATTGATGATAGACTTTTTGGTGTTTTTGACCACCACTCCTAACTCTTTTGGAATCCAATCCTCTTTAGCAGTACGCGCCCACCGGGGTTCAAACCAACCCAGGACCTCTGGCTTACAAGATGAGCCGGTAGACCACTCAACCGCTGGGGAACGGATTTCAACTACCCATGATTTTTAAATTCTGCCAGTTCGCGGTGTATATCGCCAGTGGTCATTGGCGATTAGATATTCTCCTACCTGACTTGGTGTACTTCGTTGGTCCAAAACTTCTCTGTAGAACTCCAGGTTACTTCCTGTATAGACACAGTCGCTAGTTAGCATAAAGTTAATTGTCAAGTGTTGGTTTGCAGGGGTTTGATTGCTTACAGATTTGATCACGAGCTGGCATCAATTAGAGAGAGAGAGAGAATCATTAAAATGTCAGGGAGTAAAGTTTTCAGAAGTACGCATGTAACAAAGTTTGAATCCGATAGGAACCAGTCAGTTGTTTCATGCTTTATTATGCACGTTGATATTTCTCACAATTTGGTGGCATCTTATGAACTTAGTGGTTGTAATTTTCAGATTCTATTGATAGTAATAGATGTAACGATCCAAACCGATGTGTTGTAGTGTGAATGCCGGAAACCGATCTTTGCTTTCCACTAATATGTCTGAACATAACTTCCTTGAGTTACTCACAGTCACAAAATATCCCAACGACAACAAATAGATAGTTATTTGCAAATAAAAATCTGAGTTATCAATCAGAAATCGTACGTCGGTGGCACAGTGGTAAGGACGCTCGCCGACCATGCACATGGTCCGGGGTTCGATCCCCTGCCGACGCATACCCGATATCAATGGTTGGCCTGCAAAATTGGCCCGACTGAAAGCTGCTACCTTGACGTGGTGGTCGGGCTTGCATATCGCAATGACCCAACGAGCTACACTGGCTGGAACTTGTGTTCCTGTAGGTCCTACCATGCCAGAAAGGTTGTTTGGATAGCGGTTAGACAAAAAGCAGCTACCCAATCCAATACTATGATTTAAACAAATTCACAAAATATCATGCCGGATCGGTCGGGGCCCGGACTAACAACGACCGCGCTTTCTGCTGCCGTGTCACAGGGCAGAAGTGATAAATATGCTACTGAGACACACCAAATAAAAAAGAACAAACAAAAACAGGCCGTGTGTGACCGGCCTCAAGCAGTTGTCCCCTGGGCTCTGCGGTCAAGCAACCAACTTCCACGGTGTGGGCAGCCGGGAAGTAACAATCGCCCTCACAATCCGAAGTGCACGCGAAACCTCTCTAATCCTCGCTCATCTTTGTCTTCATCTTCATTTCTATTATCTTGCCTTCCTTCTACCAATGCAACTCCTCTACTGGAACGTGGCAACTCGAACTGCTGCACTTCGGTGCCAAGTTCTATGTTGAATCTAGCCAGCCTGCAAAATTGGGCTACCGATATCACATGCTGAAAATTCCATACTGGTACCAAAAATGCCGTGTGGAATCAAGCTATAATTTTAAAAAATGTTGGTTAACCATTGCTTGTTGAAGAAGGATAGATGGTGGCTAAGCTAGCTATGCTCAGCGCATTTCCTAATCGTCTTAATCGATATAGCTTCAAATCTTCGTCGATTGATTTGCCCTCCTTATCATAATACTCTCTACGCCTAACCGCAGTATTACTCCACCAAGCCAATTGATTATGGTCATCAAGTTCTGTTGCACTTACATCATTCTGGTCAACTGGAGGGGAGTATCATTTACTGTCACATATGATAAGTATGGCTCTTAGCTTACTCCATTAAACGTCTCTTCCGAGTAATTGAATTCAGAAGAAGCTAGACTTCATTGTATAGGGAAAAGAAAGCTGCAGCTTGTATTCAAAAAGTGTACTAAATCTGGATTTTGGGATGATATATATATCAGCTGGGGACCTCAGGTGAACATAGAGAAGACGAAGGTGATGAAGAGATAACCAAACAACAGTAGCAACGACAAAAACCAGCACTAATCACCATCAACGGGAGAAATTTGAAAGAGGTTACTTCCTTCACCCATCTAGGAAGCATCGTCTCAACTACAGGCTCTGGGCACGAATGAGGATGTCGAAACCAGAATCGGAAAGGCAAAATACGCCTTCATCAACTAGAAATCGGTGCGGAAAAATTCTGCACTGAAATGGAAATGAAAACATTTATTTCCCGATATGAATTTAAAACAAGCAACAAACCAGGTTAATAAAGCAAGATTTAATGAATTCATCAAATTTTGGTAGAACTCGTCAGCTGAATACTCTACACACACGGATATATATTTATACTTTAGAAATTACATTGGGAGATATAAGGCTGATAAGTAAATAAACTACATTGAATTAGTCATGCAGAAAGATAGGTGCGAATGTTTTTCCAGGTTATGTTCAAATACATAAGGGGAGAGGGAGTATGAGAGATTTTAAATTAAGATAAAATGCATTACACTTCAATTACGTCACTTAAATAAACAATTAGACATTAGAGAATATAACAAGAATTGCAAACAGAGTAATATGAATAGTAGTAGTTATTATAACAATAATAATAATAGTGTTGAAGTGAGTTAAGATAATCCTACTGTTAAAGGATAGTTTTAAATGAATCAAGAAAAATAATAATAAGTAAAAGGTATTACCATGGTAGATTCAGAGTCATGACCATCTCCTTTTGTACACAGAGACGTGGTTTATAAACTCAAATTGCACAAGCCTCTGCAATTGCAAGCATCTTCTTGTTTCTTTGTCTGCTGACAATAGTGAATGACTTGACCGCGTCAATATCATATCCGTAATCCACAAGATGTTTTGTTATTGAGGATTTTGGCACTTTGCACTCAGCTGTTTCCAACCATTTTGGCAAATGCTCCATCATGCGAGTAGACAATCGCCTTTCAGTACGACCTATGTATTTGCTTCCACAAACACACTCAAATTGATATACGCAGTTTGAAGTGTCGGGATTGGCGAGTGGTCTATCCCAGATTGTTGAAGCACTTGCTTAATGGTGTTAAGGAAAACAAGTTTTGCAGTATGATAAATTCTCTTGATGGCTTTTTCGAGTCTTCGTTTGACTACTTCCTGTACATCATCTCCTTTGAACGGCGAACTGATATAGACAGGTTTCTTCGGAACTGTTTGGGTTGTTTTGGAGGGGCTATTTTCTTTAGAGTATTTATTAATGAACCTCTCAGGATATCCATTCCTAGATAAAATATCCTTCAGAGATTTTAATTCATGTTCTAAAGTACTGTCAGAACAAATTTTTCGTGCTGTATTGAACAGTGTTCTGACTAAGTTCTTTTTATACTGGATTGGAACAAAGCTCTTGAAATGCATGTACTGTCCTGTCCATGAAGATTTTCTAAATATAGATCTTTCGATTGTGCCACCATTCATTTTCACCAGAAAAACGTCTAAGAATTCAATAGTATCGTTTTCCTCATGTTCTACTGTGAAATTGAGATTTGGATGACATGAGTTGAATTTTGTCAACATGTCTTCGGCTTTTGATCTGCTTCCACAGGCAATAAAAATGTCGTCAACATATCTTAGGCATACATCCGTTTCTTATATATGTTGCTGCAATGTACCGGTTTCTAGGCGTGACTGGACTGGATACATACACTGAGGTGATATTGAAGTGACATGAAATGTTAGGCCATCAAGTGGAACCCGAAGAGGATTGTTTTGAGTTGAATGTAGATCCCAAAGGTGACATGGTGAAGAGGATCATTTAGGTAAGAAGAAATGATAGCTTATTGGGGGTGGGGAGGGGAAGGAGTCGTGGAGACAGTTAAAAGTGATCATAGGGAACTCCGAGTGTAATGAAGATGGGAAGGTGAAGGAAGCTCTCTGCAAGAAATGAGTGATAACAATAATAATACAACACAAATAATCGAATCTTTTGACGTATAACTCTATAATGGATAAGATTTTATTTTGATAAATCACACAGTGTTGTTATACAGTAATATTAACTGATGACCAAGTTTCGAGCACAAACTATCGCTGCTCATAATCATATCAAGTTACTCACACAACTTTCTTGCTTCATTTATATACTTGTGTGGAATTGACTAGATATTGGAATAAAATTCAATACGGGATAATGTACATTCAGAAGTAATAATATGAGTGTTACTGATCAATTACAATCAGATGGGAGATAAGACGAGTGTTTTATAGTCAAAATAAGTAACTTGTTAGAATGTTGTGATGTGTTTGAATTGAAATAAAATTTTAAGATTATTTATTATCCTCCTCTGATTTGACTGATGGCAATAATATCTTCCATATTTCTGGTATTTGCATTGAGTCATTTCTGTTGCATGTGTTGGGTGTAGACCCGATGAACAAGGATTTAGTAATCAATCTCTCTCTCCACCCACCTACCTATATTACTTTTTAGAATTTTAACTCAGTCCCACCCACCCTATTGTATGGTTGTGTATGTGTATTAATGCATGCAGTGCAATAGCTGAGTTTTCTTTATATAAATTGCTTATCTTCGTGGGATCAATCATTGTAACTTTAGCTAAATTCTAATGTTCTGATAACCTGACTACTGACCCGATCTACTAGTTTGACCTATGTAGTTGACTCAACTCACTCACAGACATTGCAAGGTATTTTGTAAATTATATTATTTTGTTTAATTGGGTCCACCGGGTCCTTTCACCTACAGAGTTTGTGCTACCTGAGTAAGTTTGTAGGTTTGAATGCCACCCTAATTCCTGCTTTATTCAGAATCCTACGTATATACTTTTCACTAAATCGTATGTCATTCTATATCTTTTCTTCGAGTCTATTTATTATTATCATCATCATCACCATTCCCTTGGGTTCTGAGTGGAACATAGGACTTCAACAATTCATCTCCGCCTTGTTCTGTTTTCTCCCGTCCCCTTCTCCTCCTCCTCCTCCTCGACACACGATCTCCTCCATGTCATTCTCGCACTGACGACCCACTCATCGCTTAAATTTTCTTAGGCGTTTATTTAACCTTCTTTTGTTTTGTTTTGTTTTTTAACTTGAATTTCTAGCTAACTACACCAGTCCCGTGTGATTTATCTGGTTCGTCTTTAAGACAACAAGTAAGTAAGTTTGTTATAGACAGAGTTTGTATGTGTATGTGTACGTGTGCGTGTGAGTGTGTATAGGGCCATTTTTGTGTGTATTCCAATTATTCCCTTGATATGCCAGCTTGGTCATCAAAGGGATAAGAATGCATTGAGTAGGATAAAACATGACAAGTTATTGTATTTCATTTGGTCCTCGTCAGCTGCATGCAACCATAGTCGACAATGTTAATATGAATATACAAAGTTATAGATCATAAAGGTTGAAGTATATTAACGTTATGCGATCAGATTATTATTATTCCCTTGGGTTCTAAGTGGAGTATAGATTTCCTGCAGCACATCTCCACTGTGTTCTATTTTATGCTGTGTCTTCTTTAGCTAGGTCCAAGATCACCCATATCCTTCATCTCCTCCTCCTTCATGTCAACCTCGGACGTCCCACTGGAGTAATAGCTTGGTGCTGGATGTCATTCAACAGCCTTCCACCTTCTCCTACATATTTGTTAAACGATAGGTTCTTTGGTTGGTTTGTTCCCATAGTTTCTTGTTTCTAATTCTTCTTGGCCGGCAATTTGGTCTTCAATATGGATCCGGTGAAGACAGCTGTTGATAAAAGTCTACAGTGGCCTGTTAGAAATGCTTTTCGTGACGCTCAGGGCAAGTCTCTGATTCATAGAGAAAAACTCATTGCTGGTGAAAATCCGGATCTTGTTGTTTATGCCTGTGGAGTGCAGCACAGCTCCGTTTCAATCTGTTCTCTGGTAGATGGTGACTAACAGTGGTATGCAAGACAACGTGCATTTCGTCCCATTTGGGACTCGTCAAGTGGATCTGCCTGCATTCCCCAGTGAGTGAGCGAGTGATGGTGTTCCCACTGAGGTTCGAATCCAATGCCAATAGTTATAGACGCCAAAGCGTTATATCCACTAGACCACTTGGGCCATGAGAGCCACCCACACCCCTTTTGTGACGACTACCAGTTATTATTATTTGCTTTTAAATCAGTTTTACTTTTCCCTCTTTGATTGATTGGACCAATATGCTCAGCCTCTATTGACATGTTGGGTAGTCAGCATCTACCAAGTGGACTTCAAATTAGTCTTCAGATATCGTCGAAACGTCCGTCCCAGGAGCTGACTTGTTGTCAACAGAGACCGAATGTTTCTGTCCAATCAATATTTCTATCACACTGCCCATAAGGGCTTTCATTTCCTTCTTAAACGATCGTCCCTAATGTCACTTTCAGATGCTTAACTCATCCACTCAGAAGTGTGCCTGGCTGGCGTGTGATATCACTCAACAGTCTTCTCAGTGTGTGTGTCCGATAGGTCTTCATGTCTTAGTGCATATTTGTTTGGGGGCAATAAGTTCTTGGTTGGTTTGCTTAATGTCAGAGGTCCTTGTTGCTTATCCATTCTGACCTCTACTACCGGCCATCTAATCTTCAATGCAGAGCAGGGGACCAGTCGCTGATGACAGTATGCAACAGCCTGTTGGAAATGCACAATTGATTATTATTATTATAACTCCCTTGAGTTTCGAGAGGAACATATGGTCTCAACAAGACATCTCCACTTTCTTCTATTTTCTGCTGTCCTCTTCATCTGGGTTCACGATTGCCCAAAATCTCTCATCTCCTCCACGTCACTCTCAGACAGACGGTCCACTCGTCGTTTCCCATTCGAGTTCTACTCGAGCGAAGGCCTGCATTGAGCGCGATGTCATTCGACGGTCTCCTCAGTGCGCGCCCTATCCATCTCCATTTTCGCGTATACATTTATTGAGCAATCGGTTCTTGGTTGATTTACTACTAGCCAGAGAGTTTCTTGTTGGCAATTCATTCTGGCAGGCCATCTGATCTTCAATATGGAGCCAGTGAAGGCAGTTGTTGATAAAAGTCTGCAGTGGCCTGTTAGAAAAGCTCTTCGTGACGCACAGTTCAAGTTTTTGACCCATTTAGAAGAACTGACTGACTAACTTCACATTTGTGTTGAACAGGATCCGAATCTTTTTCTTTATGCTGAGTCAGTGCAGAAAATTTCCAAACTGGTTTCAGAGTGATGAAGGTGTATCTCACCTTTCCGATTCTGTCTGTCTGGCTGGCTTTGACATCTTCATCCGTTCCGCTGGCCTGTGTTTGAAACCGTGCTTCCTGGCCAGATAAGTGAAAGAAGTAACCTCTTTCAAATCTTCCCCGTTGATGGTGATTAGTGCTGGTTGTTGTTGCGGTTCGTCGGTTATCTTCACCATCTCTGTCTTCTCTATGTTCAGCTGGAGTCCTGTCTTTGTTGCTAGCTTCTTCTGCCAGTTTGTTGGTTTTCACCTGCTAGTTTTCGAGTTTGTGTGTCATTAAACATAAATTACCCACGAGCCAAATCCAGATCTTCTAGAGTCTTCTTATCGGTGATCCAGCATATTCCTGTCTGTATAGAGAAATAATTAAGGAGTATTCTATCGTTACAAACGAGTGTTTCAAACTGATGAATGAATAGAGGCGTGAAATCAACAACACACTTTTGTCAGGATTATATAACTTAGTTGAAAGAGAGATCAGAAAACTGGTCTAGTGAGGAAGATAGATAAAGACAAAATTATAGGGTAAGGAGTTACATTGTCAAAAGAAAATATAATTATCTATAGTTTGTTTGTAAGGATTAGTTTTGTTTTTACCAGTTGATCACGGATCGATATCAGTTAGAGAACCATTGAAAACCAGCCAGCATGGAGTACTGGACAGCTGTTTTGCCAGCCTAGTTTGGGAATCATCGGCAGTACGCATCCACCACTGGGGGGTTCGAACCCAGGACCTTCCGG